AACAAATTTACTTATTTTAATAAAAATATTAAAAAAAATATTATAAGAAATAAAAATTTAGTACTAAATTAGCGATTTGGAAATAAAATTAAAACGTTGAATCTATAATTAAGACCACTGCAGTAATGAAGGAACCACGTAATTTTTCGGACGCTATTATCTTAGTTTTGCAACAGTGAGAGTTGGTTCCCATAACACCATTCAATTATGGTGCATAGTCAGGGACGGCGAAAGAGGTAGGTACTACTACCCACCTGCAAATTTGGCCAAATGATTAAAAATTTTGTTTGATCTTTGAGTAGAGTATTAAAAATAATTTTTATGAATTCTAAACATTCTTTAACAACAACTTTTGTTATAAGGCTTTTGTTATTAGGCTTAAATTCATCAATAATAATTTACACAGTGATATTAATTTATAATATATCATTTTAAACTTGTACTTGTATGCAAAAACTTTTCAATTTATTTTACTGCGTAAGGGAATAGGAATGGGAAAGTAGACAATGTCTACTAGACATGAAAATTTCGGTAGTGAAAACACATTTTTTGATTAGTTGCAATTTTCAGCATATACATTTTTAAATTCCATGTTAAAGAACACGTTTAATGACAATAGCCTTTTTTGTAAGGGTCCTGTGGTATATGTATTTTTAAATTTAAATTTAGCGCTATTTTAACCGAATAAAATTTAATTAGTCTACAAAAAATATTATTATAGTTTTAAGTTATTTTATGTTTTAAAATTTTACCTTTATATATTTAAACGTAAAAAGATTAGTATGATTTGTGTTTGATCCTTTACGTGGATGAAGAATTTTAAAAGTTTAATACGGGAAAAATGGCAGAAAGGTCTTGATCGACATAAGATACGGCTGTAAGTAAGAGTTATATTCTAATATACCTAACTATAGTTTTTCAATAACTGTTTCTGATATAATTAGGTATGTACATTTTTATAAATTATAATGTCTACTAATACTAATAAACAATTACCTATTTTGGGTTTTGTTACTGTTGATGTAGTTGTTGAAATGATTCGCTGGTTTTTCTTTAAATTCACTTTAAGCGTCGTTTTTAGTTACTCTCTTACCAACCTAAGTGTCGCAAAGATAAAAGGTGGCGGCAACCCAGCTAGCACAAGTCTGTCCTAAGGAAAGCCTTACAAGATATTGGGATATCCCAAGGATATCCTAGGACGTCCTCGGACCTCCTCAGGACACCCCAACCATGACCGAGTGGTGCAAAAAGGCCAGCCTACAGACGTCCTGCAAATGGCCTTTAGGACATCCTTGGGATATCCCTGGGTCCAAATAGGTCAAGGAATAGGACATCCTGAGTATGTCCTCTGAAAGTCCCATGGGTCCAGGTATAGGAGGTCGTGAGGAAATCCTCTGAATGGCCTTGTTATATATATGTGTACATATATGTATACATAGTTAAAATATTATATTGTATAAAGTATTAAAATGGAATTTGATTGTTTAAAATGTATCCCCAATAAAAATTTTGATGGGTCTCAAAAAGTACTATTTATGCATTCATTTATACAAAAAATTTCGAGAATTTCACTGTAGGGGGCGCTTCTGAGTATATATTTATACCTTTATATTAACGTATCGTTATCAGCCCCTAAACTTGGCAACACTGCTGGGCTCGACAACGCGCGTACTATATATTTTTATAAATATACGGCGGCTTTAGAAATTAACCATAAAAGCACTATATGTATACCATATAGTTATAACTCTATAGAGTATATTTTATTTTAGCAGTTTAGTGATCTATAAATTGCTGTTGCAGTCCAAAGCGACATAAAAATTTTTAAACCGTGGAACACTACACCTATTTTTCAATTTTTTGGGTTTCCTGTAAATGTGTATAATTATTTGGTTCCAGAATTCAATTATAATTTTTTTTTTTTTAATAAATTTGCGAGGTTGGCAGAGGAGCTAAAATAAGTAATTACAATTATTTGTTCGTGGATTACAATTTTTAGTGTATTTATAACCGATTTATATATTTGCATGGCTCCCCTAGGGGCAGAGTGGTGGAAAAGTAAATAAAAAATATACATAATATATTACTAATACTATTATTCCTAAACTGTTAGTAATGATTGTTATAAAGTTAGTATAGTATTACAAAAGTTGTTCTGGTTTTACATAGTACTACATAGTCTAAGCGATTATTGGAATTAAAAATATATTAATATATATTTTTTCACCATAATATTTATTTTTATCATACACAAGTTATTAATCAATGATACAGGCGTTTCAATTTTAAATATATTCAAATTTCGCACTACCCTAAAATAGATAATAAATATTCGTCATAAAGAAAAGAGACTAAAAATTGTTTTTTTCAGTCTATACGCCCCTGTTGGTTATTATTCTAAACAAGAACATTTTTAAAAATATTCGATTGTAGTTTTAAAAAAAATACTGCAGGCAAATAAATATATTTTGAAAATTTATAGAAAACACCTATCCCCTTATCCCTTAAGGGGTAAACTTGATAATATCTGTAATATAGATTCTAGGTACATGTCATTTTACGCATATGCACGGAGGGAACAGTTTTGGGAATGGTTACTAAAAAAATTAGTAATTTGGGGACAGCTTTAATATTTTAGGAGTGAGCGCTTTTGTGTTTACCCAGCAAACATTGACGGTTGGTTTCAAATCGGCCGACTGCGCGCAGATCTATTTTAGATCGGCATCAGTTGGATTGTAACGGTATACCATCTAATTTACGCCCCGTCACCGATAATCGGGAATAGTAAATCGAATCTGAATCGAAAAACCATTCACATGACGATTGTCAGTTTAGCACGATCTATTCGATATCGGTTATTTTATATTATCCGACGCTCTTTTTGTCGTCATCGAAAGTTTGAATTTTTGACCACGAGAACCAACGGAATAAGTAGCGGCATATCGCATTATTGAAAATGAGTTAAAAATTCAAATTTTCGCGCGAATTGTCATTCGGATTACGACCGAACCCTAACGACGACGACTCGAACCCAGAGTTCTTTCAAAGACAATTGACCATATGCAAGGAATGCGGTCGATGTTGCCAATGGTAAAAAAATATAATTCCCTATTGGGAACATTCAATTATATTACGTTAGCTACACTGAAATTTTGAATTTCCCGCACAAACTGACATACATTCTAGTAGTTTCCAGAGATAAAGAAGGTAGTTCCAATGTTGTATAATAAATGAAGGTGCGAATTTCAAATGTGGGAATTATTATTATTTATTATTATTAAAAAAAAAGATGGAAATTAATTTAGTTTGTGCGGGAAATTCAAATTTTCAATGCAGCCAACGTAATATAATTGAATGTTCCCAATAGGGAATTTTATTTTTTTACCATTGGCAACATCGACCGCATTCCTTGCATATGGTCAATTGCAAATGGCGTTTGATGCACACCACGCCGTGGTGACCACGGTCGCGGCGTTTATCTCTGGTCTCAAAAATGTCTCAAGAGAGTTTATATGTGGATCCTGATATAAGCCAGGAGTAAGTTAATGTCAATATTATGTACTATCCTCCAAACTGAAATCGCCCACCTCGGGGGACGCAGTCTTTTGATACAATCTAAAAAAAGTTTAGACTTCTTGTTTAAAATAAAATCATATTTTGACGTTTTCAAGTCCAAGTTTAAATAATCCGTTTAGAATTACATTTAATAAGGATGTTTTAAGAATATATGAAAATAAATATTACGTCTAATGTGCCAGATAAGTATTATTTGTGTCGTTGATTGATAATCAAAGGTTGTGTGCAAAACTGGAAAATTTTGACGATGTTTACAGCGAAATAGAGTAATTGCATCAAAAATGAAAATCCCTAAAAACCTTTTTATTGTAATCTAGAGGTAAAAACACATTGCGAAAATATTTTTTTATATTCCAAAAGTTCAACCCGGCCCCAAAATATCAAATTGAAAAAAAGGTACTTTTCAAACGTTCCGAACTCCCGCCATATTGCATGACGTCATAAGCTTTACCAGCTGTCAGAAATCAAGATGTCAACAAATAATAAACACCGATAAAGTTTATGTTTAACATGGAAAACGCGAAACCAAAAATTGGTTGTAAATATTGTTTTGTGCCTTGTACAAATACAACCTGGAAAACTCCTGGAAAAAGGTTTATCACCGTGTTAAAAGGGAAAATAAGGATAAAGTGGATTAAAATAGCTCGGCGCGATATCAAAACATCGTCACCATTTTATTGCTCATTTTAAGGATCATTTTAATGTAAGTAAAATAAAATGTCGTTTACTAGGTATATGGTTTGAATAGGTATGTTAAATATTAATAAATTCAAGAAAATACGGCTGAGCCGTAACTACTCTCAGTGTAGGGTCATAAACTTTGCTTTTGATAATTGAAGGGACAACTTTCCCAGGAGTTTTCCAGGTTGTATTTGTACAACAAGGCACAAAACAATATTTACAACCAATTTTTGGTTTCGCGTTTTCCATGTTAAACATAAACTTTATCGGTGTTTATTATTTGTTGACATCTTGATTTCTGACAGCTGGTGAAGCTTATGACGTCATGCAATATGGCGGGAGTTCGGAACGTTTGAAAAGTACCTTTTTTTCAATTTGATATTTTGGGGCCGGGTTGAACTTTTGGAATATAAAAAAATATTTTTGCAATGTGTTTTTACCTCTAGATTACATTAAAAAGGTTTTTAGGGATTTTCATTTTTGATGCAATTACTCTATTGTTAAACTATACAATGGATTGTGGATTTAACTACAATCAAAAATACTCATACTTTTGTTGTAAAGGTAGGTTAATACATTATTTAAAAAAATATCTTCTGATTATAAATTTTTAAGGTTTTAACATCCTATAATTGTGCCTTGTCTTTAAATTACATAATATGTATATAAATTGGCCCTGTGCATGTTTATGCTAGTTAAGGGAAAACAGTTAAAGAATTGAAGATTTACGTTTGGGTTTGCAGAACAATATTGGTAAGTAATTTACAGAAATTCTTAACAACAAAATGAAACTTGAAGAAAATGTTGATATCTCCTTTAATGAGTGATGTATTTATTTATGAAGGGCCAGTTGTTTAAGTGCAAATTTGGATTTAATTAAAACTTTTATACAGTGATGATTAAAGTTTATATTTTAAGTTTTTAGTTTGATAAAATTAATCTTTTACAAAACTTTTTATTGTAAAATACCTAAATGGAATGATATAAAAATTAATAATAGTAATACAACAATGCAGAATATGTATTTGTATTTCTTTGAATTAATTTTGGCCTAATATTTTAGCATCTGTATGTCGAAATGCCAATGGGAGAAATGGGACAATTGACGAAATAGAATCAGCTGTTAAATCCTGGCTGCGCAATGCAGGAGACAGAGCAGGTGGACGAATTAGTCGCAAAAAAGAAGCTGTTCCCAACACTGAAGACTGAATTTTTTTTATTACTTTTGATTAAGTACATTTAATGTATTCAATATATTTAGATTTCTGTTGCTTACTATTTAAGTTTAAATTTCTATATGTATGCGTGTGTCGGTCTTACGAGCCCTAACACAAAAATGTTCGGACACTTCATAATTTATACAGAAATATTTTTCGTGAATACTATCTCAAAATTATTAGAAGTTATGAAAAATTCAGCTTATTTTGGCATATACCCCTCGAAGCAATTTTTATTTTTAAAAAGTTTACCTTTTATTTTTAGCTTTTACAAAAAGGCTAACTTTTAAACTTTTTTTTGTATGAGTAAAAAAAGTTATAAATGGGCCCATTAAAAAGAACGTAAAATATTATACAAACCCTGAAAATTTGGTAAAAATTGTATAAATAATAAGAAAGTTATAACAATATATATATCTGCAAAATCTCCCATTTCCTAAGAAAATTGCAAAAACTCTTTAAAAATAGCATTTTTAAATTACTTATACTTTTTTATAACTAATTTATTTTTTACCAAATTTTCAGGGTTTGTATAATATTTTATGCTCTTTTTAATGGGTCCATTTATAACTTTTTTTACTCATACAAAAAAAAGTTTAAAAGTTAGCCTTTTTTAAAAAGCTAAAAATAAAAGGTAAACTTTTTAAAAATAAAAATCGCTTTGAGGGGTATATGCTAAAATGAGCTGAATTTTCCTAATTTCTAATAATTTTGAGATAGTATTCACGAAAAATATTTCTGTATAAATTATGAAGTGTCCGAACATTTTTGTGTTAGGGCTCGTATAACTGTTTTTTTTTGCTAATTGCAAACCTGTTTGAAAAGGCGAATATTATTTTCTGTTTGAACTCGATATTTTTTTTAGAATGGATTTAATAGGTTTCGTTAATGTTATACGCCGACGTTTTTTGAGTAGCCTCCAAGTGACAACAGACACACTACGCTAGAAATAAATGTATGTTCCTATTTAGCTCAAGAGCATTATGTTATACCTACTACTTTTAATGTTTTGTCTGTTGCCTGTTGAAGGTATTCCAATGTTTCTATGTTCTGGGAAAGATGTGTAATAATGAAATAAAGTTTATATCAAAATATGAACTATTAGTCTATTCAATTCAATTCAATTCAATTTATATTGTTGTCAATTATTAATCTCCATCAAAACGCTAAAAATTAATATAATATATCCATGATTATTTAAAAACTATAGCCATAATTTCTACCCAAATTTTCCTACCTTTAATTTTTTATTTCAGTTAAACAAGAGTTGAACTTATAAGAGGGACCAAGTTTAATAACTAAAGTGTCGGCTATCGCTATCAGTTTTTCAAACATGAGGTACATATTTAATTTTTCTTAAATTTCATATTTTTTGCATTTAAAAAAAAATCCTCAACTTACATAGTATGTACTCCAAAAATTATAGTTTTCCTGTAATTAACGACAGAAAACCTATAATTTACGAGTATATGCACTTGGATGTTTTTAAATGTAAAAAATATAAAATACAAAAAAATCTAAGATTCAAACTGTGGAAAGCTTTCGCGGCCATCGTTTGACGTTTAATGATGAGTGGTTTTTCGGGCTGTTCGGCCGTCGTCGTTTGAGATCGGTTCTCGACGTTTCGCCATCACGAGTGGATGGCATCTTCAAGAGATATTGCTTTTTGAGCTGACTACTAATTAGTCTTCGAGTAGTCGCTCAAAAAGAAACATCTCCTGAAGATACCATCCACTCATGATGGCGAAACGTCGAGAACCGATCTCAAACGACGACAGCCGGAAAAACCACTAATTTATCTAAAGGTTATTTGAAAAACTGATGGATAGCCGATAAATAAAATGTTTCTATACTTTGGATATACCGCATTTAAAAGACGCGGAATATATGACGTATCATAAAATAAAATGCATCATTTAGACATTGAACCGACTGATTATTGGTAAAGAATATGCATCTAAAGGAGAATCGAGTTCTAGAGAAATATCGGTAAGACATCGGGACCCCCAATTGGCCGATTGCTGGCTGGGCTTTCGGCCGGGCGGTCATATACGGTCCGGATCGACGTTGGCGTCCGGCATTGGCCCGATAATCCGTAGTCAATCGGCCAACGTTTAACCGACGCTCAATGTTTGCTGGGTAGTACTAATTTCCATATATTTAGCATAAGTGTTGTTTGGCAACTGCCTTTACCGAAAAATAGTAATTACAAAATAAAGGGAGATCTAAACTTGAGTTTAATAACTATAACTATACTATAATTATAGTAAACTATTTTGAACTTACCATGAAATATGCACAATTAAATATTAATAATTAATTTAACCGACTTAAACGATAACCAACAAAATGCAAAAGATAGCCGACCAGGGCCGGATTTACCGAACAGACAACGTAGGCAGCTGCCTAGAACGGAAAAAATTAGGGATAACTAGACAGTAGTGTCGACCTGCGAGAAACTAGACAGTAGTGTCAATATTGGAACACTCGATTCAACTTCGGAAAACAAATAATATTAAACGCTCACTTCACGAAAACTCAGATGGGATGAATCTAGAGATGAAGGGAAAACTTCAAGATAAATACTTTGAATGAATTTGAACAGAATTTTTTCTAAATTAGTATAGCATACAAAGTTCTTTATAAAAAATAACAGAGAATTTTTGCATGCATTGTTTGAATAAACAACACTTCGTTTGCAAGAAATTTAAGTCAGATATGCCTTAAAAAATTTATGTCGTTGTTTATTTTATACTTAAAATTTATTTATTAATTTTTTCTTAGTGTTCTATAGGATTTCAAGATATTTAAAACAATAAAAACTTCAATAAAAATATTTACATTTATGTATATGTTTTGCTAATTAGCAATATTAGATAAGTAAATTTTGTTAAAAATACCACATAAGCAAACAATTAATAATTTTACACTGGATTTAACAAAGAAAAAATGTCTAGTTAAAAAAATATTGGTGAAGCCAATTATACTCATATAAATTAATTTGTATAGAAATAAATAGGAAGATTTTTTTATATTTATTATTTTTATATTGCAGTAATAATACTTAATAATATAATTATTCTAAATTATATAAGAAAAGCTATAATTCTAATTTTATTATATTTATTACATGTTTATTGGGAAAAATTATCAATAATGAACTTAAGATTCTGAGATTTTATGTTCTCTTGAAGAACTTTTTAATAATTTTAAAGTAATTTTTTTTAAATTGTGAAATTTTAGCTATATGGATAATTATAATTATTAGTAGTATACTATATTATAGTATTTTAGTATTCCAGCAAATACCTACCATGCACAAACACTAAGTAGTAGTACTATGACAAGCCCGTAAATTTAAGAAGCCACAAATGCAGAGTATTAACGAATATTTATAGCTTGACCTTGAATCAAAAAATAGATTTGTTACGGGTAGAATTGGCAACACCGCTGGGCTTTACAGCGATTAATCAGTATATATTTTTATACTAGTGGGCTTTTCAACGTATTAATAATATATGCTTGGGCTTTACAAGAACAAAAATATTTCTACCGACAATCCTATAGGGAAATCTTTACCCCGCGTCTTTCCCCTCTATAGGTTTGTAATGTTTAAATGCGATAGAAGATAAGTATACACGCCTAAAGCACTAGCAACTGCAGGGCTCCGAAGCGACCCATCCGTCTCCGGGCTTATCTTCTATCTCATTTAAATCATTACAAACCTATAGAGGGGAAAGACTAGGGGTAAAGATTTCCCTATAGGATTGTCAGTAGAAACATTTTTGTTCTTGTAAAGCCCAAGCATATATTATTAATACGTTGAAAAGCCCACTAGTATAAAAATATATATTGATTAATCGTTGTAAAGCCCAGCGGTGTTGCCAATTCTATCCTTAACAAATCTATTTTTAGATTCAAGGTCAAGCTTTAAATATTCGTTAATACTCTGCATTTCAACAAATGCAGCATTTGTGGTTTCTTAAATTTAAGGGCTTGTCATAGTAGTGTTCGTGTATAGTATTTGCTGGAATACTGAAATACTTTAATATAGTATAATACTAATAATAATTATTATAATTATCCCTAAAATTTCACAATTTAAAAAAATTTACTTTAAAATTATTAAAAAGTTCTTCAAGAGAACATAAAATCTCAGAATCTTAAGTTCATTATTGATAATTTATCCCAATAAACATGTAATAAATATAATAAAATTAAAATTATAGCTTTTATTAAATAATATAGAATAATTAGTTTTTATTAAACACTCGTTCGCAAGCTTCGCTCTTGCTTAATTAAACTCGTAACTAAAATACCGTTTATAAAACTTGATACATAATATACTATTATAGTAATAACTATAAAATAAAATATTAATAATTAATATTTAACGTGTTATTAATTTATTACTTTTATAATTTAGAATACATTTTAATAATAGTTTTAAGTTATATTAAAACTTTTCACAATATATTAATAATTTGTATTTAATTAATATATTAAAAGTGTGGAAGCAAGTTTCCAATATTATTTTTCTATTTAGTCGGCTACAGGTTCGGATTTAGGAATTGGCGCGTCTTTAATATAGAAATAAAACATGAGACAATCTGACTCTATATCTAACAAAGAAAGTGCGTTTAATCTTTCTTCAAATTTTGATCTCAAATAGTTTTTTACTTCATCATCATCTTATTCTTAAACATTCTATGTCTTGAAATTTTTTAATTGAGACACTTGTCACAAAGTGTTTATTCAAACAATGCATGCAAAAATTCTCGGTTATTTGTATGCTATACTAATTTAGAAAAAATTGTGTCCAAATTCATCCAAAGTATTTATATTGAAGTTTTCCCTTCATCTGAGCGTTTAATATTATTTGTTTTCGGAAATTTCAAATTGGATCGAGTGTTCCAATATTGACACTACTGTCTCGTTCCTCGCAGGTCGACACTACTGTCTAGTTACCCCTAATTTTTTCCGTTCTAGGCAGCTGCCTACGTTGTCTGTTCGGTAAATCCGGCCCTGGTCGGCTATCTTTTGCATTTTGTTGGTTATCGTTTAAGTCGGTTAAATTAATTATTAATATTTAATTGTGCATATTACGTTAATAAAGCGTTATCACACGTATATTGTACAAATTTTTATCTACGCCTC